CGGGTAGTGGTTTTTTTTATATTCATGGATACAGGAAAATACCCCTGCGCCACCCCACCTTTTTTAAAATATAAAATAGGATATATTGCTACGAGGAGTTTGTTCTTACAAAGAATACAACTCCATCTTCTGGGATGCTGCTACAGACAGGATTAGATTTCTGAGGGGGAAAAGACAAAGTAAAAAAAAATAAAGTCAAAGTATTTTAAACAGATATTGTTGAGGTTTTTTTTATAAGAACTTAGCTATTTAGAAATGTTTTTTTTTTTCATTGTAGGGTCAGATGTCTTTAACAAAGACTGTCTGGTTCAGCTACGGCACATTTGAATACTGCAATCAATACTGCAGAGCTGAATAAAACCGTTTTTTTTTTCATTGTAGGGTCAGACATCTTGAACAAAGACTGTCTGGTTCAGCTACGACACATTTGAATAATCAATACTGCAGAGCTGAATAACCCCTGATGGATGAGCAACATAACACCTTTACTAATGTGAAGTATGTTCACCTAACAATCTGTAACAGAAGTAGAATAAAGAGGATGCTTTTGGCTGAGAAGAAGTGAAGAAGTGTTTTCCTTCTAACTGCTCTAATGTAACGGAGAGATTCTAGAAAATGATGCAATCCTGTGTCAGTTACAAATACAAATTAGAACAGATTAGAATGTCACTTAGAACACTTAGAACAGAACTGTTCTTTTCCTTTGAGCAGTTGCAGATGGAGGACGGTGGTTTTTCCTCTACAGCACCTGAACCACAATTATAGTCATTATCCAAAGTGGCCTTCAGGGCCGGTCTGATCTCTTCCTTCTTTTCCTCAGAGCTCTCAACTCCAGGGTTATTAAAACCCTACTGAACTTCTGCCAGGACTTCCAAACACCTCAGTGGGTTTATGTTGTTGGACTGCAAAGCAAGAATGTAAAGTATATTTAATCACTTTTTTAAAAATGATAACAACTGCACTCAGTCATTTTGACCTCCTAACACAGCTCCACTGTTGACTGATGATGGTTGAATTCAAAACGAGCAGAGCTGCTCTTCTATCTTATGCAACATGTGGCAACAGAGTTTGGGCCAGTAGCGTCTCATCAGATCGTATCAAACTGGAGAAACACACACACACACACACACATACACAAACGAGCTTCATCTCTAATTAAATGACTAAAACACTTCACCATCTGTAATTATTCTTATGATGGAGTGGCCCAAACAAACTCTCATCTGTTTGCACAGCGTTGTGAAAACACGATCTGTATTCCACTCGAATGAGTCGACACAGAGAAGAGATCGAGACTGTCTGCTGCTCCAGCCTCACACATTTTGCTAAACATAAAACACTGGCTTTCAAAGCTAGCTTAAGAAACCAACCAAACCACTAAGTTGGCAACCAAGAAACCAACCAAACCACTAAGTTGGCTAACTTATCCTTGTGACTTGTCCAAAATCCAGGCTGAAGTCCACATGCAGCTTAAGCTTAAACTAATGCAGGATTCGATTAGGATGACGGGCAACTAAAAAACAATCCTTTTGTAATCCTTTTTACTTTAACTTTAACTCCTGTCCTTTGTCTCCAAACTGTTCATCATATCAGGTCTCACTTCTGTGTTGCAAAACTTCTCTCTTACTCTGACTGTTGTTCTTCTATCACACATGACTCTGACACTCTTTTTACCTGCTCTCTAATTTCAACAAAGATTGCAATGTCATCTGCAAATGGTGTGATCCACAGAGCGACCTCATCTGTCAACCTGTCCATCACTAGTGCAATTAAGCAGAGGCTCAGAGCTGCACCCATCTGAACCTCGAACCCATCTGTCACTCTGACTGCCTCACTAGTGATTCTTATATTTAGAGATTTATCAGTGATGATATTTACTTCACAAAGTCTTGTACTAGCTTGGCCACGTGTTTTTTTAGAGCCATCTTAAGAAGAATGCAAAATAATAACACAAGACTTTGGGTCTAGTTGGGTTCAGCTGACTACAGACTGATCAAGGTCCCAATTTATTAGTCTTACAAAGTTCAGCTGACTACAGACTGATGGTATTTAGTCCCTTTTGTCAAGGTCCCAATTTATTAGTCTTACAAAGAACTCTTAAAACATCTTTAGCAACTACCACATGATTACATGTTACTACAAGAAAATTAAGCATGCTGTACTTTCCGGAATATAAGTTGATCCGGAGTATAAGTCGCACCAGCCAAAAGTGTGACTTTCAGGAGTAGCAGATACTGGCCTAGAGTGCCCTCTAGCGGCTGTCAGTGTGAAAATAACAAATGTGAAATTATATATTTTAATATATATAAGTTGCAGACCCAGCCATAGGATGAAAAAAAAAGCGTGACTTATAGAGTCATAAAATACAATAATATTTAAAATATGATCAAAAGGCATGTTAGCACGAACACTGTGTACAGCCTTAGTGTATATTTTATATTTTGTGTATAGTATCGTTTGTACTATAAGTACTTTGACAGGGATGTTCACTGTGACCATAAAGAACATTTGAATCCCGAATCCTCCGATAGTCTTGGCAATAAAAAAAATAGAACCACTATATTTAGCCGGACTGCAGAGAATAATTGATCCCCCGTCGCCCTCAGCATCCTGAGCTGAAGACTGCAGAACATCGGGCTGCATTAAACCATCCCCACAGTCATTCCAAGTGACTGCGTACGAAGACTCACTGTACTCTGATTATCAGCAGCTTTGACTTTGCACCATCTGATTGGCCAACGCTCTGGGGACAGAGACACGTCCAACTCTCTGTACTCGGAGGCAAGACGCGACACCCCGGTGCTGTCAAACACATTGTCACACACCCACGCAGCTACAGCTACAGCTACACAGGACTCCATCTCTTCAGTGTGTCGGAGCTGCACCTTTGGTCCAGTCTGGAATAATGACTTTAAGAATGTGCTGAGATTGCATGGAGTCAAAAGTGACATGTTGTGATAATGGTCAGCATTTTGTTATAAAGCCCCGAGGCAGGTTTACCGAGCTAAAAGTCTTTCATTTACTAGACACTGATTGTGTGGTTCCTTACCTGTCACTGCGGCTGCTGCGGGAACATCGGGCCCCTGGAAACTCAGACAAAGCCGTGACTGAAAATGTAACAGCTTTATGTACTGGAGGAGAGAGATATGTAATAATTTCTTTTTCCTTCTGCACCTCCAGCAAATCCGTCTTCATTTTATTTGGGTCAATACTGTACAGTGCTTGTACTGTATTTCTTGTCCTGCTTAAGATTCATAGGATGTTTTTTTTTCTTTTTTCTTGTTTGCATAGTCAACATTCAGCAGAAACACCTGGAGCTTGTTAATCCTCTCTGCGTTCACTCTGAGGCCGTCACAAATTGAGCCTGGGTGGAGATAGAAGCCGGGCCACAGCAGGACACAGCAGAAAGTTGTTCACCTAAGGTTTATGTCAGACATCAATGACCGGTGCTGTTTCTGTGCCGACTGTGGGGGGTTACTGTAAAGTTACTTTACAAAAGTGATCACTGTTGTTGCAGTGTCTGCATCAAAACATATGTATAAGGTCATTTACTTTTCTTGATTTAATTTCTGTATTTTGTTAGTTTCTACTTAGCAAATAAGAGAAAATTACACTAGAAGTATGTTGTTTTGTCTAAAACAAATAGTTTTTCCTTGAGATATTTTTAACAGTTGTTAGTATTTTTTTTTCCAATCTCAAGTGATAAATCTAATCTATCCCCAAAGTATATTTGTGTCTTTTGTTGGCCCAGTATGAGCTACAGCAGGGATGGGCAAACTAAGGCCCATTTTGACATTTATAAAACATTTATTAAACATAATCAACATTAATCAACATACCTTCATTCCCAGAAGGAAACTCCTGAGGGATAAATAAAGGTCTATCTATCTAGCTACAGGTGGTTATCATGGATGTTTTACACATCTGCCTTACATACAGAAGGTCCTGGGTTCGATCCCCAGAGAAACCATACATAATGAACCTTTTGTGGCAATCTATGTGGATTGTTTAGACTTGCACTCTGAATTTCCACATTGCGGGACAAATAAGGGACTCAGCTATATTTTTTAAACATATCTGAGCTTATTTATTTCCATCCATCTGTCTACCTTAGAATTGTCTAAATACTCCAGATTATTAAATTATTAAACACTCCAGCCGTTTCCCACTTACAAATTCAAGATTTCTTTTTTTCTACATGGACGACAGCTTAACCTACGTACTTTATTTGTGATATTGTTCACCACAGAGGATGGTTAATTAGAGACATAAAGCCAGCGCAGAAGCTGGGGCCTGCTGCTGTGATATGTCTCTGCAGGAGAAACCTATTAGTGCTGAGTAATGTGCCCCCTGTTAATACAGCTGCAGAATTATACTCTCAATCACAGGCTCTGTGAATGTGTGGCATTTTTCAGTTTAATTAAACAGTCACTAATCTGGTGGTTGGAGTTTCTGAGGTTTCCATTGATAATGGCACCGACATATGGCAGCACCGATGACTCAGAGCACAGCTACTGAAGTTAGTTGTTCAAAGTTAAAACAGCAGAAATTAAACTTCAGTTTCCTATATCTGAAAGAGGGTCAATTGAATGTGAATAAAAGAGAACGGATTTTTTTATATAACCTTTTAAAACACACACATCTGTTTCAATATTGTAATTTCTGTTTAAATACTTCCCATATTTCAAATTTATTGGATTGTTTTTCAATTAACGATGTTGAACGTGTTGAACCAAATTACATGTCGACATTGTCGTTAATGTTTTGAAAATGTCAACAAGGATATTACTGGTAAACAAGTGTGGGCATTGGATTACATTTAGACACATCCTTACTTAAAGAGTTTAAGTAGATTAATTTAAAAATAAGTATAACATTCGTTGTTATGTGAGGTAGCAACAAATGTGTGCATTTGCCACGTTTCTTTTTTCACTGGCCAATAAGGAGTAAAAAACTGTTAAAAAATCAAACTTTCATGGATGTCTTTAAATCCCAAAGCATTGTGGGTAACAGAGTAAACCAAAAAGCTCTTCATGCGCCTGCGCAAAACCACGGCCTGTCATTTCAAAAGGAAACGAGGGAAGTCGCTCGGCAGTGGTAAGTTTCATGCTTCGACTGTTAGCATTCAGTTGTACTGAAGGATGATGTTTATCTCCTGTGTAATAAAAGGCGAAAAGAATGTTTTTCAGAAAAACATGGCTGAAAATCCACAAATCAATGTTTCATTACAGTTGTGTTTTTGGTACTTTATCGCTTAATGCTACATCAACGCTTAGATATGTTTATGTCTAAATTAAACCCATTCAGCAAGTTCGTACAATCTTATTATTAACGTCGAATGTGTACAGGGGGTTGACATATTACCAAAATATAACATGTTGTGTTTTGTGTGCTGTTAAGGACTACATAAATACCTCTTTTAAACAATATGTTTTTACCGGAGCGTGGATACCTCTGTCACAAAAACAGACAGCGTTTGTTCCCATTTACATATTTATCTTCATTTCCTGTGACTTTTTGTAGCACAAAAATACAGACTGGTATGAATTCGTGACATTTGTTTATTGTGTTGCTGTACGTTATTTCCTTACGGTAAGACAGTGTGTGAATGCTAACAGGCTCATTAGCCAACAGTGACGTCGGCGTCGCTCTGCAAAAATTGATAAACAAACCTGTTGCGACGTTAGATTTTTGTGCTATTTTTTTTTTTAAAAATTTTAATTTTGAAACTTTTTTGAATCAATAGTTGAAGTTATGTAATTTTTTTAAATTTTGAAACTTTTTTTGAATAAATAGTTGAAGTTATGTAACAATTACAATTATAATCTGCTCTCTAACCGCGTCTCTCATGTTTTTTCATGAATGTCTAATGTAGACATTGTCATATTTTAATTTTTTTTCACTAATGTTGACATTGCCATATTTTAATTTCAGACTTGTGTTGTCAGACCTTAAAATACTGCTGAACTGAAACAGAACAAAACAGTATCAAATTAATTATTTTTGCTGCCTCAATTTGAAGTAATCCAGGACGTCTGTTGTGAATTCTGTTTTATAAACCAAAACTCAGTCACACTCAGTAACCACACACATGCATTCAAACTGTTCCTGAAATCAACATCCTGCTGGAGTTTTAAATCCCTGCAAAAAGCTGTGATATTAGTATTAGTGAAATGCATGTCAGCTTTTTCTTATCAGCTTCTCCTGCTGGTGTAAGGTTCATCTATCTGGTTAAGAACCGCTGCAGAGAGACTTCCACAGATTCAGATAAAAAACATCATTTACTGCAGAGAAAGAGCCTATTGTGATTCAGAAATACTGAATGTATTAAGACCCGTTGATGATTGAAACATGGAACATATTTTAGTGCCTTTATTCGTAGATAACTTCATTTTGAAAAAAAGGAAAAGAAAAAAGCAGCTTCTTTCAACAGACCAGGAATATAACATTCTTCAAGTTTATGCTGATGTATTATCAATATGGTTCGATATTTTCTTACACATCAAGTATAGTATTGAAATATAAATATACTTGCATCTGTTGCAGGTGTACTAACTTTATGAGGTCAGGAATATTCTGTAATGTTTATTACAGTGTCCATTCCATTTCTTCGTCGCAACCCATGATGTCTGTCCCTACTGTAAAAGTGAAGGAAAACATAAAAAATCAACAAAACACAGACACACACAAACTAATATAAATAAAGGAACCAGCTGAGATATAAAAAGAAAAACATGAAGTAAAAGGAAGTGGCTCATGTTTTAAACCATTATAATTATATTTTCAACATGAAAAATGCTAAATTGATTACAGGCTTTCTTGGCTAAAGAGCCCCCTGTGGAATGATTTCTTTTGCTTCACTTGTCGTTTCTAAGCTTCCAGGTGAGATTTATTTCTGTTTTACAGGTGTTGATACTGAATGAGTCACTTGTCCTCAAACGAAGGCCACCAGCTTCTCCACAGGGGTTGAAATCACAAAGGCTTATTTGATTTTATTTTTCCTACCTGTAGTCTCTGCCTGACTGAGCAGCTGACTCAGTAGTACAGGGAACAGCTTGTCTGCCTTGCAGACCATCCCCGCTCCACGGTCCTTGGTACCATCGAGGGACTCTGACAGACATGACTGCCCAAAATCAAGCTAACAAGCTCTGACAGGAAGTGACATGTTGCGTGACAGGAAAATGGCAAACATCTATTTTGTGTTTTGAGCAAAATGCAAGATCCAAGATGCAAGAAAAATTTAAATATCCTCTTAAAATACTGAGACATCCGTCCGTGTGTGACTGTTTTCTAGGACAGTTAGTGTCTGCGGAAACCATCTTGGTCCAAATCGGTATATTTAACCCTACTTTTGGTGTTCTTGGTTGACAGATGATTTTTTTCTTGTTGTTTTGTGTCTTTAAGATTACTTTGGTGCCATGCCTCTCTACGTGTTACCAGAGGGCACTGACGCTGGTGCTCAGATACCAGCACACCTGTCCCAAGTTCCCATTCCACTTATCACCACCACAATGGACTGCTTCAACAAATCAGTCAAGGTTAGACACCTCAGACTTACATTGCCTTTTTTATTTTAATCTTTTTAAAAAATACATTACTTTTTTGATTGTCTAAAATGACAAAAGCCACATTTTCTGTTTTGCCTTAACAGTAGTTAATCCATTTTCTAACAGTAAAAGCAATTATTAAAAAAAAAATCTCACTTCAAATTTCTGCAGACACATCCGATTATTTCTTTCTGGGTTTTTTTTGTTGGTTTTTTTTTTGCCATTTGTTTCAACTGTCAACTGCCACCATCTGCTCACATCTGTATGGAAATCTTCTTTTTTTTTCATGGCAGGCTATTCTCCTGATGAATACACTGCAGGAATATGTTTATGAAAACCAAAGCAGAATCATAATCTTCTGTCTCACAGCTCTTTTCCCAGAGGCACTCATCACTGCTGCTTCAAATACAGCTTTGATCAGCTGACACAGCTCTCTGTACAGTACTGAAGGGCTTCAGTCCGAGTCAAATTTTTTCAATTTTTTTTTTTTTTTTTTGCAGGGAAAAGTGATTTCTCAAGACCCGTTGGTGTCGGTAGCTGCTGATGACTTCATGCTAAAGACGGTCATTCAGGGTAAAACTCAAGTATTCTGATCTACATTTGTAAAGGAAAAAAAAAGAAATTAAGGTTGCTAGGAATTCATTTTTTAGGAAGGGTGCTTTATATATATATATATATATATATATATATTTTTATTATTATTATTTTTTATTATTATTATTCAATAGGTGATAAAGGCTATGTCTGGTCCCTGTATGTCTGTGTGTCTTTATCTGGACTGCGTTTGTTAAACTATTGGTCTAGTCCGGATTGTCAACGAACATCAAGGCCTGTGTTCTTCAGTGTTGTGTCTTTGTGTCTCTCTTATCTTTCAGCTGCGTAATTAAAAAGCCATTGTAAACCACAGCTCCTGCTGAGGCTGTGACATTTGCCTCTGTGTTAATTTCCACTCCGTCTGTGTCTGTCACGATACGATGAGCACAGTGGTTATTTGTGACACCTTGACAAATACGTTTTCTCTTAGTTTATATATATATATATATATTACATTACATTACATTACATTACATTACATTATGTACTTTCTCTTTTACACCTAGTTGTTATCATAAAATCCTCTTAATTTGCTACAATGTTCTACCATACCTTGAGCCCCAAACTGACAAACGTGTTAAATTGACTTATTTTTGTGATAGACTTGATCAATGATCATTTCTGAGACTAAAATGAACAAAAACTAAATAAGAAGTCAGTGTGAAACTTATTGATGCCTTAGTCACATAATAAAAAAAAAGGGATAAACAAAATCTGGCAGAGGCTGAGTCCAGTCTGTGCTGAATCTGTCGACTTCTCTCTTTCACAATATAGAAATGCGTTGTCTCTGCAGTCTGTATTTCTGTTTCATCTTGTCCTTAATGCATGCATGTGTTTGTGGGTTTGTTTGTTTTTTTTCAGAGGACCCAGCACCCGGTGCTTCGTCTCAGTACATGTCCATCAGCGTTGTTGTATTGGGAGCACTCGCTAAGGAATTCAGTGAAACTGTCAATCAAGGGGTAGGTCCACTCTGTCACATGTGATGTTGTGTAGACATTTAAACAGTAGATGCTGGTGAGACTAGTCTCTTTCAGATTTGTCTCTTTGTCGGGAAAAAAAACAAACCAAACAGACATTTGATCGTGTTGTGTGAATGTATTCTAATTCTGTATTTCCCTGTGAAATTTAGGTGTTAACAGACTGTGGTAGTGTGTTTGTTTCCCACTGTGTTTGTGTCTGTCTGTGACGGCAAGCATGCGTGTGTTGTTGCTACAGTCACAGTATGACTTATTTAATGGGCAAACAATGTATCTTGTGAAATGATTCACAGAAACAATTTTTACACATCTGCTATACAAGTGCAAACTTATAATAATACAGATGTTAAAGGGAAAAGGTGCTAAATGTCATACAAAGGAGGAAAGTCAAATAAAGATCAACGTGTGAACCTAAGGAAAGACAAGAAAAAAGTACATGAACACGAGTCTATTTAAACAAAACAAAAAAGAACAACCTGGACAAGACTAGATTAGAGTCAAATAAAGATCAACGTGTGAACCTTTCAGAGAAGAAGATATAAAGAGAGACTGCGGTCTTTGAAGTGAATGGCTCAAGGCCAAAGAAGTGAAGCCTCACCACTGATATGAAAAGTTATTTCTGGTAAAAGAGTGTTTGTAAGACAGTAACCTCACACATATGAGTGCAGCTCTGCCTGTAAGGCTCAGTCTAAAACACTGAGATGTGGAGATGTTGAACCTTATTTACTTTAGTTAAATTCAACCCTGCAGAGGACCTTCAGATATAATCTTACCAGAGCTCCTCTCTACTGTGTTGGATCCTGATGAAAACACCTCACCACCTCTCCACTGTGTTGGATCCTGATGAAAACACCTGGCCTCAACATCCGACCTTCATGTCTGTCATTCTCTGACATTCCAATGAAAACACGTCCAGCGAGAAATAATGGTTTCACCACAGACCATACATAACCACGGTGAAGCAGATGATGCCATTAAGTTGAGCACATGACCACCAGGGGTCACCAACTGTATTTGTCAGTTGGATAGACACCTCTGCGGGACGGACACTCAAATAAAATAAGTTGATGATCACTAACGTTAACATTGTGAAGTGTTAAACCTATGGTCTTAATTCATCTGAGAGGTTGTTTAGCCCCAGTTGCGAAGCACTGGTGTAGTGGCGCTCCACTGGCATTTAATTAACATAGCGGAAACTCTGTTCTACACCGGGTCCACAGTATAAGGCGTAGATTATCCTACTTTTGTTTTGTTTCTAAGTTTTTAACTGGCCCATTTGGATTAAACACTGAGCCCTGGCAGAGGCCGTTCTTTTTGTCAGCCTTGCAGAGAGATTCTGACCATCTGGGCAGCAGCTGGTGCAACAAAGTTGACTGTCTATCTGTGTTTCCACCAGTGGTGGTTGTATTAAGATCTTATTTAGGGTTCTCCTCCAACGCAACATCTGCCGCTTCATTCTGTCGTCCCTTAAGGATAAAGTATCCATATTCATATAATTTCCATCTTTGTTACATGCATAATGGAAAAATAAATATATATATATGTCAATAAAGGTCAAAATGAAAATGAGCCATCAGTTTGAGAACATTATTTCATAGTAAACTGCATAGACAGTGTGGTATTATTTCCTGTATGGCTGTTGTTGTATCACCGTCTGTCTGACTGTATTTGGGTGTGGGTCAGTAAGAAAATTGTCTCCATGGTTGTGAGTTCACAGCACAGTTCCCGTTGATTACATTCATTCCCACTGTTCCTGCTTTTTCTCTCACAGGACGTGTTGGTGGCCTCTGGCTTCACCGTGGAGGAATCGTCCGCTGCTCAGGACCGCACGCTCCATCCCTGTCACCTCCTGCTGTCAGGAAACGACGCCTGTCTTTATGTGAGGACATTGGTAGTTTTATATTTGAGTTACCTTGTAAAAAAAAAAAAGTTCTTAAGATTGGACATTATAAAGTCATCCACCCTGGTTTGGGCTTCAAAAGATTCTCTCTTCACTGAAGTCCTTCTTGCTCTGCCTACAAAACGGTAGCGCTGTCTGCAGGGTGTGGTGTGAATGAAAAGTGAGCTCACATCTCCGTTCTCATCCATCAGGTGTGTCGCCAGTTGCCGCCTTCTGACCCCAAATCCCCTTCAGCAAACATGAAGAAGACCACGCGCTCCACTGAGGTGAGAGTCCGAGCACCGCTGAACCAATGGTGTTGTGTTGAGCTGTTTGTTGTTTACCTCATACGTCCTGTAACTCCCAGGTTGTCAGGAGGCCAAACGTAACCAAATACACGTATGTGAAACTGGACGAACTGAAGGATCAGACTGTAGTTAGTCTGTACGGAGTGGTGGTCTTCTTCAAACAGCCCTTCAAGAGCCGTGGAACAGGTCAGTCTGAGACTGATAACGAGGTCAAAAATATATAATGCAGTTATTCACTTTAGTGTGTGAGGTACGGGTGTGTGTCAGTTTTTGTTGCCTTTTTATTGAATTCATAAAAGAATTTAACATCCTTTAGTAAAAACTTCAAAAAGCTTCAGCTGGCAGTTAAATATTTTCATCCTTTAGTAAAACCTTCAAAAAGCTTCAGCTGGCAGTTAAATTATTCCAAAAAAATCTCAAATAATATATTATTTGCCCTAATAAATAAATATTGGTAGTAAAATATTTTCTTATTAATATCAGTTGTCATGCTGTAAATAAAAACTATGTTGGAACCTTCTGTTGAGTATAAAACAACTTTTCAGACGTTTTCAGTACCTTGGACAGAGGCGTTTTGGATTTTTACCTGTTGACATAAAACCTGGTCAAAGTTTGAAAATAAGTCAGGCAATAACATATATATATATGTATATACATACACATATATATATGTATATACATATATATATATATATAGAACAAGTTATACTAATAATTAATACCACATTTAGGTACCAATTTTGAAACGGTGACATTTACATAATATCAAAAACTTTATACCAACTTATATGTTTTTGTGTGTTTTCCCAGACTTTTGTTCAAGCCTGAAGATAACAGATCAGTCAAACCTGAAGATTGTTTGCACCATTTTCTGCGACAAGCTGGAGAACCATCCCAAAATCTTTCAAATTGGAGACATCATTCGCCTGCACAGAGTCAAGGTGCAGTTTAAATTCCACACGGGTTCTTCGAGTGATGTTGCTTGAGTTGCCGTGTTTCCTTGACAGTAATCTCTTCACAGGCCCAGCTTTTCAACAGCTCCATGACGTTGCTCAACACCCATGGTTTCTCTGTGGTGACCTTTGACGGGGCAGTTGGCGGCCCAGTGGAACCTCGCGCCTCCAGCCTCCACTTCCACTTTGATAAGGAGGACCGTCGAATCGTGAAGGAGCTACGGTCGTGGGCGGCCACCCAAACTCTCCGGCCTCCACTTCCCACAATCCCACTGTCTGCCGTTCAACCCAGGACCTATTTTGACCTGACCTGTCAACTGCTTTCCAAAGCTGTTATTGATAGCACCTGCACTTTACTGAGGGTAAGGATAAAACACATCAAATAAAGCAGCTCCACCTGGTTACCCACTGTTTTTAACATGTCTACACTCATTATATATTATATCGTCTTTCATGTCATAAATAGGACACGAAAAGAGAAGCTAATATTTTCACTGGTGGCTCTTTGGTGTCAGGAGGAAATAATTACTTTTGTCTTATTAGAAAAGCTTGTCTTTTGTTTTTGAGGATCAAGACGTGTCTCGTTGCTTTGAAGACTGACTCGTTTCTCTTGCTCTGTTCTTCTTCCTACGGTTCATGTAAACATCAACCTTCTTCTTCTTCTTCTTCTTGAGTCAACAGTGTTTCTACCTTTTTGCACAAATTAAGCCATTTGCCTTCAGTCTTCATCTCTCCTGAAGCAAATCAACTTCAGAGTCTGGTGACCTCGGTGTGAACTGGGCTGAAAGTTGAATTTGATTTTTTGTTTTCTCAGTGTTGACAACAGAAATGAAGCTGTAAGTCATGGCTGCTTTCCTGCAGTCAGTCAGACTGACAGTGCTGGTACATTTGAACAGGATTTGGCTGTGAATCCTGGTCTGTTGCCAGGCTGCCCTCGCTGACATGCAGTAATAAGCTGTGCCCAGTTGTAACAGATTGCTGCTGCACATGGACACGTGCAAACAGAAGCAGATCATTGCTCTGAATTTATTTTTATTTGTTTCATTCTGTGTAATACACAACTGGCTGCTAAATGCAGACTTCGTGCTGAGAATCTTTTTGTTTAATATCATTTTTATGTCTTCCCTAAACATCATAAACTCAGTAATAAGGCAGCAGAAAAAACAGTTTCTGTAGTGTACATGAAATACTGTGTGTGTGTTTTCTTTTCTTATCATTTCTTTGTTTTCCTGTATGTTTTTTCTTTTTTTTTTTAGGTTTGGGATGGGACCCGGTGTTCTCGCCCCCTGTTGAGAGTGATAGTCGAGCGCAGTTCCGTTGAAGGACCGTCCTCATTCTCCAGGCAGAAGGAAAACCTCATCGCTAATGTTCTTGTCTACGATAACCACGTGATGGTCGCCAGGGAGTTAAAGGTCAGTGCTGAGTGTCCAAAACTAAATCCTGAGAAAACTGTGTCCAGGTGTGTGTGTAGTGATAAACACTGAGTCAAACTCACTGAAGCACCGACGGCAATAATCGAGTAGCAGTGGACCGACAAAGACCCGGGGCAGACACGCTGTACTCTACTGTCAATAATAATAACATCGTTTAAAGCTCTGTCGACGTCGGCTTCAGTTTAATAATAGTACTGTTGGCGATGCCCAGTATTTTCCTCATTCATGTATGGATTGTGGCAAACAAAACTGTGAGACGATCACTTGGGTGTGTCAACCTGGTTGGAGTACAGATGGGGGTCTGCGGCCAAACAAGGGACCCACGGGCAAAGTCAATTGAAAATGTAAATGTGAAAATATGCATTTTCCCCGCATACCACTAGAGAGCGCTCGTGTACCACTGGTGTTACGCATACCACAGTTTGAGAACCACTGGACTAGGAGGAAACTTGGTGTGAAAGGTGTGTGACTAACGATGACGGAGAACCAAAGAACCAGGATGAGACGCTTACAGAGGAATCTAAAAAGGGACGTAGCTCGCAGCATATGCACCGCAGGACGTCTCTCATTCACTCTCTTCAGTCATGCAGCGCTAATCCCAGTGCCACAGTTCAAATTATACCTTGATCTCAGCTGCACAAAGTAGCAGCTTCAGGTCACAGGCCACACACACTCAATCTTTCCATCCCTTTCTGTCTCCCTTCTTCCCTCTCTACACCTTTTGGAGATTCTTTGTGGCTCAGAAACAGAGTCATGCAGCTGAAAACACAGCTGTGCAGCTCTGACAGCTCTTACCAAAGTGTGTGTGTGTTTGCCTGTCAGTGTTAAACTGGAATAACTGTGTTGCGGAGTCAGAGCCACGCAGCTTCAGCAGCAGACAAATCCAACCGATGAAGTTTCCCTCTATCTCTGGACCATTTGTTTCAGTCGGCTGAGAAAAGGAGAGCACCACAGAACGTCACTTATGCACCGTAACAGGACTAAGAACATGACCTTACACACAGGAGTGAAGCTGTGTTCAAAGGAAAACGAATAGTGAAGGAGAAATGTCTTCGTAGTTTCAGTATCGAAATGAATAGTGGAGAAATGTCTTCGTAGTTTCAGTATCTGTTGTTTTCCCGTCTTTGAACAAAGTGCCACAACTCCCTCGACAAACTCCCATGAATACTTTCTGTTTCTCCTCAACCAGAGCCTTGTCTTGTTGCTGAAAACAGCCTCAGATCTTATTGGTATCTGATGTTTATAAGATGGATGGTTGGTGTTAATAGCCTCGGTCGAGTTCACAGCTAAAGCTCTGGTTTAAAGACTACTAGTCCGAGGCTCGGACTACAATTTTGCAGCAAGCCATTGATCTGTTGTTGTACAACTGATTTGGCTTTAAGGAAAGAAATCTTGAATCTTGAGTTTTTGTGGTCCTTTAGAAGTAAAAGCTGGTGTTGGTGTTGGTCAAGATGTTAAGATTTTCCAGCCCAGACTCCAAGTGTTGATGACATTGTTTGGACGAATTTAAAAAAAAAAAGAATTGTGATTTTTGTGCAAGGCTAGACAGCAAAAAGACTTTGGATTGAAGTGGGAAGGTGAAGAGGTTGAAGAGTTGAATATTTAAGGAAGTGTGTTAGATAATTAGTTGCAGTAGACAAAGGTGAAGCAGTATTTCAAATTAGGAAGCTGTGAATGTTGTGTTACACTTGAAATAACATTTTGAGCAGTTTAGACTAAAAGGCACATTTAAGTTACTTTTACTGTTTCTTCAACGTTTGTGTTGATTTCGTTCAGTAGAACACTCATACGTCCAGTAATATCTTCATGTCTGTTGACCTCTATCCAACCTTCATACGTCCAGTAATATATTCATGTCTGTTGACCTCTATCCAACCTTAGGGAAAAAAGAGCTTCCTGTTAAAAAGAAATCCTTTAATGCTGTATGTTTTTTGAATTCTGTGGCATCTATGAGATTCTCCAGTCCGAGCATCAGCATAAAGGAAACCTCACTGATTCTTATTCTTTTTTTTACAAAGATGGTGATAAATCTATGTGTAATCGTCACCCCATGCAGCTCAGCTTGAACCATTATTGGAGAAGTATCTCCTCAGTGCCGTTTCAATTCACACACAGTCACAAACTGAGACTCGGGTACGAAAGGCACGTCGGAGTAGGAATACTTTCACCAATTACCCGCCTTCTCTGGTGATGCATCAGTACTATTGAGCTGAATCGACAGGGAATTTTGCAAGAAGAAGAAGACCATTAGTAGAGAAAGGAGCCCATTATGATGAAAAGCTGAGGAGGAGGAGGAGGAGGAGGAGGAGAGAGAGCTTGATTCACACGCGTTGCCTCCGTCATCGATTCATCGAGCACTTTAACACACATGATTGTGTCACATTCAACTGTCAGTCTCCACTTTTCACACCGTCAGCAGGATTTCCTATAGATCTATGTGTTTTCTAATTTAGTGATAGTTGAAGTTTGAAGTTCTCTGGTCTTAGTTCTGTTACCTCTCCTCACACTCTTTGCCTCCATTTGAATCTGAATGTATACATGAGGTGAATGGCAGGCACAGTCCATGTTACATTACATCACACTGTGCCGTGTGTAAAAACAGGTGATTTACTGTGAGATGGTCATCTGGTGCATCTCCAGAGGTCAGCTTTTAATTTAGCTCCTAAAGCCTGAGCACTGTTCTGTTTTCCTTTTTAATGGCCACTTATTTTTGAAGAATTTAACAGCTGCAGTCAAGCAAGTGCACACCTTCCTGTCATTGATTTTTCTTTTCCTTTTTTTTGTTCCCTCACTTCTTCTTTTTTTTTTGCAGCACAGTCCACAGTTCAATGCAGCATGCTGTCATTATTTCCTGTTAAGTGAACACAGTTGTGAGGAGGAGGAGGAGATTCATTGTCAGGACGCAGGCTCTAATCTTCTCCACAGACCACAGATTGCACCACAAGTGCAACCTCTGTTGGTGCCAAACAGACCCAACAACCAGGGAGTTCAGTTTCACACCAGCACTCCTGCTTGATTTCCCAACACCTCGCCCTTTGCCCCCACAGTTTTCCTGCATAGTGTGACACATGTTCTAGTTCCTATTTATTAACCTGGGAATCAAACTCTCATTTACGTGGAGTAAAATAAGTCTATATCTGTTTAACGGATCGAGTAATTAACCTGCTGCTGAAAGGATTGGATTTCTCCGGTGACCACGTGGATCCACAGCAGGATCAGGACAAACCGTCTTCTATTATTCATGAAGAAAAATAAGTACCGAAGAAATGCACAACACAAAGAACACACGTGTAAGACAGCACTCGGAGCTGCAACCTGACGGTGACTTTGGTTGGTTGTTCTTCAGACAGATGCCGAGGAGGAACACGCTCTTCGTCCTCGACTGAATGGAGGCTAAATTGCATTTGTTTAATGCTGATAAAATTGATTTCATGCTCTCTGAAATATTTAACTCGTGCTGATGTGCGCGGCACTGCTTTTGCGTTGTAACGATCAACACTCCATAACAACAATAAGGAGTGATTTAAACAACGTGATCTGACGGATAAAACCCCTAAAAACAGAGCTGCGATTTGTCAGGGGAGATAAAGAGACAGATACTTACGTATTTGATTTTATTGCTTTAGGTTTTTTTTAGTAGCTGAAACTACTTCCCTTTTTACTTTTTTTTTAATATTAGAAAGATGTTAAAGGCAACTGCTCTGACACAGGCTTTTAGTTTGAAGACATATGCTGTTCTTTTTTTGCAGATGACAGCATGATTATACTGTAATTTCCCTGATGTTTATTATAATCTTTAGGTGTTTTTAGGAGGAAAAAGCACAGACCTTTAGTTCAAACGTGAGTCTAATTTTTCCTGCTTTTATACATTCAACATTTAAAATTCTCAAAATATCATTACATGTACAATGCAACACTAAACGCTTTCTTACCCATAGTAGGTAGATGGTCTAACACCAGTTCTTTCTACATAGGAATATCCAAAAATGATCCTCCACTTTATGTCCATTATATTGGACATGTAGCCTCTTAACATGAGACTCAGACCAGAGGTGTCAGATTTAGTTTGGTGTTCGCCTTGGCCTCCATGTAATTTCGAGTTAATATCTATTAATTCGCTAGTTTGTGGTGTATAAACCGTTAATTCCTGGCAAGTAAAAGCGTAGAAAAGTGCCGGATGCGTCACAGCCCTGAGAGTTCTTCTTTTCATTTGGACTTTTAGGAGCAGCAGAGGCCTCGGGAGATTAAGCGCTAATCCACGATGCCCCTGACACAAGTTTCACCCTGTGAATGGAGAAATGGATTTAAAAAGCCGCAGCTTGTAGGGGATTCACTTTTTGAGACATTATTCCGCTCTGAGACATTCTTCTGCTCTTCGGCTCTAATGCAATTAAACAGCCTATATATATATATGTGTGTGTGTTTGGTGAGTGAGTCTGATATTCACTAAACAGAACCATATAAAAACACCGGAGCCTTTGCTCTAGGAGAGAAAGACATGACAGCAGCGTGACAAAGCTGACAGAGAAGAAAAGAAAGGAAAAAAAAAACAAGTCGTTTTACACCCAAGTACTTTTGCAGCCTCCTAATCTGCGTCACCACACTGAAAGAAGGTTTGGTGCAACATCGCCATCTGCTGATAAACACGTACATTGCGTACAGCACTTTATGAACATGGTTTGAGTATGAAAAATGATTTTTACAGCACTTAAACATGGTTTGAGTATGAAAAATGATTTCCTTTTTCAGTTTTTGAATGAATGGTAAATCATTTCTTTTTAAGGTATGTAGGTCCAAAATGATACGAAAAATACCGATGTGTTTAGATTAAGCATTTAAGAAGTGGCTACGAAGCATTTTGTGTTATATTGTTCCTTATTTTGAAATCTCCAAATGTCCATCTGTTTACTTCCATGCGTTTACTGACATTGTTCAGTCATGGAAAACAAATGGAAAATAATTATAAAAAACAAAATGAAATGTACAACATATTTTTTAACATATGTTAAATTACAAAAATGTTTCTCTTTACTCACAATTCATTTACTGAAACCAAGTCTTGTTTAGTAGAACTCAACACTGATATACTCACAGGAACTGAAGAAAGTCATGAAGATGTCCTTCAAAAGCTGTCTCTCTCTCTCTTTCTCTCTTTTTTTTCTTTTTTCTTTTATAGCCATCTGCTGCCACCTAGTGTATGAGTATTTTATTGTTCTGCCAAATTACAATCAGTAAATAAAGTACAGTTTTCCTCCCAATTCAACTGAAACAAGATCATTTTTATTTTAGTAAATAAAGAACAGTTTTTATAACAATTCAACTGAAACTAGATCATTTTTACAGGTCACACCTGAAGACACGTGTGGCTGGTTATCACTGTGTTAGGATAACAGAGAGACATAACCTTTCTGTGATGCTGTAGCAGCTAAAAAATATCCTGGAAAAGTCCTGGAAGATGCTTTCAAGAGAATAATGTGAATTATTTTTTAGTAAACCTTAGTTTATTTGATTACATTTAGATTTTTAATGCTAACTGTTACAGATAACTACATCCTAGACTAGTGTTTGTGGAATCAGCATGAGGCTGTGGATGTGACTGGCAAAGCAGAGCAGGTGCTCCATCAGTGTCTGGACCAGAGGTCCGGTCTGTGATTAATGAGCGACATCTTGAGTCTGTGAGCTTTGACACTGAGCCACATGTTGTTGCTAAAAGGCTTCTGGCACCTTTTGATGGCGAGTGGATTTAAGTGGACAGATGATTGGAGACGAGAGCTGTGTTCTCCTGCGGGTCATAAAGCTGTTTGTTTCTGCACCCCGTAATGTCACAGTGCACATAATGAGATTGTTTTTTTTTTTCAGGCAGAACGGGCTGACGGATTTGACGGCTTTTTCATACCATCATTAAAATAATTCCTGTTCTTTCTCCACTCTCTCTCTCTCCGTCGGTCTCGTCACATCAGCCTGGAGACTTCCTGAGAATCTACAACCTGCGAGCGATTCCTGGTGCCAGTAAAGTCCCTGGACTAACCAGCAACCAGTTGGAGGATCAGGATCACTTGGCCTTTCACCTTCACGGTGGAACAGCCTATGGCAGAGGCATCAGAGTTCTGCCACAA